ATATTAATCTTCTCCCTTCCCAAATTTCTAAGTATGTAGGCTCAAGAAAATCAAGGTTCCAAGAAATTTTAAAATGTGGGAACTTGTGTGTCAAATTCTTTGAGCCTAGCTTCTCTCATCTAGAAACGGGATCATAATAGCAAACCTCGTGGGTTAGATTCATACGCTGCAAGGGCTATCATTATCAGAGCCGTTCTTATGAATTTTGATTTTAATCTGGCTCCCCACACTTCCTGAACCATGTCTAATGTTCATTATGGACAACCTTCCAAGCCCTTGCTGTCACCTTCCCAACCACATGGATCTGCTCATCACAATGCCAAAGACCCACTGGGCAAGGACTCTTTTCCTCCTGGGTTCCTATTTCCTGTTAAGCTTTATAAGTTGTGTGTGAGAATGTTGTGGTTTGTGTATAGGAAGGAAATGGCATCCACATGCAGGAGCACACGGGTGCCCACGTTTAGCACGTTTACGTAGACCATAGTTCTTCAATCTCAGAGTAAATTGCATGGTAAGACTTTATTTCCCACTCTTTCTTGATGCTGACAGTCGGACCAGGAGGAAGATGCAGAGCTCAAGGCACAGGTAGAAAATCAAAAACAAAACAAAAGCAAAACCAGTGTGTGATAAGTCATTGTTTGTCTACAGCGTTCAGTCTTTCAGCATGCTCTGTAGCTGGTTACCGTGTTACTGGTGCAGTGTGTAGGTTGGCGTTTGTTCCCTTGACTACTATGTCCCTTACTTTTCCCTTTCTTCTCCACTTTTTTCAGAATAGTCTGATTAAGCGAATAAAGGGTGAAAATGTGTATGTCAAACATAGTAATCTTATGTTAGAGGTTGGTATTTGTATATACCAGTGCATGTTTGTGTGTGTTGTTTTTCTTTTCGTGGAATACGTGTGGGCTCATACCATGATGCATGCACTGTGTGCTCACCTGTCAATAAGTGGGGTGACTTCTCAGCTTCTTCTGATTTTTTATTCTCTCCTACATATAGATCCCTTTTCCTGTGTGTGTATTTATTTTAATTCTCTCTGGTTACGTGTGAATTACACTCTTTACAGTTTACCTTCTAAAATTCTTTTGGCATTTATGCTTGTGTGAACTAGATTTTTTCCCCCTTTCTTTTCCATGGAAAATCACATTTTCACCAGAGTGTTTGTGGTAGTGCCATGAAACCTGATCAAAATTCTGTTTTATTTTGACTACTAATAAGATTGACATTATGTTAAAAAAATAAAAGAGCTGAAAGGAATACAAATGTAAAACATTGACTGTTGGATTTTTTATGTTCTGGATATAGGAACTAGAAAAAACTCAAGATGACCTCATGAAACATCAAACCAACATTAGTGAGCTGAAAAGAACCTTCTTAGAAACTTCAACAGACACTGCCATCACAAATGAATGGGAAAAGAGGCTTTCTACCTCCCCGGTGCGGCTGGCTGCCAGGCAGGAGGAGGCACCCATGATCGAACCACTGGTACCTGAAGAGGTCAGTAGACAGGCTTTTAGCTGGACATGCGTTCTGTTCACTAGCTTCACTTCTCCGCAGGGCGTGGAACTGGGACGAGGATTTGGCATGCTTCTGAGTAGCAGATCTCTCCTCTTGTTTATGTACAGCCTGAACTGAGATGCTCAGTACTCCGCAGGAAAGCTGCAGAGTGAAGAGACTGAGTGGCTGAGGAGTGAGTAATGGTGTCAGATGGGCCTTAGAGTGACCAGGGAGCTACAGCCACAACAGTGCAAATCAGCTAACTCTGCCCATCAACCTAGATTTTATAGCTAGGAGAAACTGAGGTACTATCTTCACGAAGTGACACTTTTTCTGAATATACTTTCTCCTTCTGCATCGAGAAATGCCCTGAAAACTCATGTATATTTCTTCTCATCAGTTGCAAGATGAGGCCCTGTTGTGATTATCTGATGTTTGACTAAATGGAGATCTGAAGTTGATAGTATTTCAGGAGAGGTTTACTCTGAAATACTACACCAGGCTTTTATTGGTATAATGGGTGTTTTATTATATTTTTATTTATAACATTATTTTAGCTGATTTATAATCAGTTTTTAACTGATTTTTTATGGGGAAGGTAGTGGCCAGAAATTTCTTTGTAAGTGTGACCCTTTCATATGGTAAAGCTCTCTTTAAATGTACAGCCAGAGAACGTGAGTATTCAGTTGCTGTTACTGCAGGGCTCCCATTGTGCGGGACCCACAAATTGCTATAGTGCTAATTTTACTGTCTACTATTAGACATCAGTTGCTTTCTCTCTCTTTCAAAAGAAGTACTTTTTGAAAACTGCATCTTTTCAGCATTGTATTGATTAACTTCCCACCCCTTCATTGTAATATATTTGTCCAAGAAGCTAAGACAGAATAGAAAATTAAAACATAGGCTTTTGTGGGAGAAAAATCCTTTAAGCAGTGGTCTGTATGCAGTGCTTCAGTCCTTGCGTTAAAAATAAGAATTGAATTGCACTAATTGTTGATAATTTTCTAAACCTCCTTTGAAAGCTGTTTATGAAAAGTGACCAAGATCTCACCATCACCAGGTTTATGACAGTTCCAATCCCAGCTAAAAAGAGAAGAGGTACATACCTACATAGATCCATTTCAGTTACTTTGAAAGGACCTTTTATGCAGAATAAATGAAAAGTACAAATACCAAAGTATTCCCGTACCATTAAATACCAGTTCCATCTAAGTTACCGAGTTTCAAGAGACAAATTGCACATTCAGATTGATATAAATATAACAGTCTTTGCTTTATTAGGAATACCACTTATCAGTTATGCTTTCATAAATTTTATTGTATTTGGTCAAGTTCAGCTTACCCTGTTTCTGCCATCTCTTCTGGAAATAATGTGCTGGCTCTAAAGATATCAGATACTGGATTAAGTCACAAAAACTCAAAACAAATAGCCACCAAAATCAAAATAAAAAAAGTCAGGCCTCTCTTCCCATGCTGTTATTTAAGAAAATGGTAGGTGGCAGCCACTTTGAATGAAAGGCTAGGTAATAGCTTGGAGAAGTTAAAGGTGTGCTAATAAACAAGGGGACTTATAGGGCTAGGCTTTAGACTAGTGAAATAATTCTGTTTACTTCTATTAAATCCTGAATCTTAGAGAATGACATTTAATGAACTCCAAGAACATTAATAATTTAAGGAGGTGGTATTGAATATACTGAACTTTCCTTGCATGTTAATGCCTTTTCTGTGTTAGTACAGAAAAGCTGGAAAAGACCAAGAAAGGATTTTTTCAACATGATTAACGGATAGAAACATATCCTCTTCAGAAACGCAAAGCAGTTTAGTCATTTAGAGTGGAGGAGACCAAAGGCTGCTTATTATCTGCTTCCAAGTGTCTGCAGAGTTGTGCAGTCCTGCAGAGCTCCATCGCCACCATCAACAGGGGACATTGCTGATGGAGCTTGACTAGGTATAAAGAAAAACTACTTAGAAACAGGCAGATTAGCCCTGGTTATCAGAGGTGCTCTGGAAGGCAGCTCTAAGGAGCTTCAAGTCCCAGAGGAGCGAGATCTCTTTAGGTAGTTAGGGCACCACACTCCCCTCGGCAGCAGAGCTGGGCAGAGGGGCCTCTCCATCCCCTTCTGCTCTTCTCCAGGACTCATGGGTATCGATGACATCCAAGCTTCTACTCTAGTTGAGGGCCCTGTAAGACAGTCTTAAGAATTAAAAACAAATGAGAACGTTCTTGCGCTCTGCATTAAAATTTCTATATTAAAATTATGGCATCTGTTATTGTGTGAAAAGCACAAAAGATAATTTTATCCACCCAGCTAGGTACATACAAAGCATATTGGTTTATAAACATATAACCAAAAGATTTGTATTTTTTAAAAGTAAATTGCTAATTTGATATCAACCTATTTTTTAATACAGCCCACTTAAAATTAATTAAACAGTAATCAACCAGTTTGGAAAGAAGTTCAGTTATTTCTAAATGTAAATATTTAACTTTTTTAATTGACATCTCAAATAAAGTAGTAGTGTTTGTGACAGAATCAGGAAGAAACTTAGATTCAGTGACACCAAATTTATGACCCCATCCTTAGTTGGTTTTGATTTTGTGTGGTTTTTTTTTTTTAAGTCTCAGTGATAAAACGGTATTTTGAAAAAGAAAATGATCTAATGATCTCTGATTTTTAATGTGACCATCTTTTTTTCTTTATTTTGTTTTTTCTATAGTAGTTGAATTGTTATTATAATAGTAATTGTTATTTCTATAAAATGCTACCAATTTATGAATAATAAGAAAAAAATCAGAGTTAGAATTATATATAATGAGCTAATAATGATGATCATATTCTGAGATTTTTATGTGTGTTTTCTATACAAAATGGAAATTTGATTGCCAGTGGTTTCAAGTTTCAGATATTTGAGTTAATAGAAGACAAGTAGCAAGGATGCCCCAAAGCAACAGGTAATATCCAATCCTCATTGACTTTAGAAAATAGACAAACCCGCATACAGGGCTCACTACACAGAGGAAAGGCAGGCCTATGATACATGTAGGCTTCCAGATACATCCTCTGTCCACAAACATGTCTCGTCACAGCCTTTTATGATGCACCTAAGCCTTGGCCATGTTAGGGCTGTTTTCTTTAGTGAGTTATTTGAATACCAAAGGTTTCCAAATCTCAGTCAAAAAGCAATACCTACTAGTACTTACGCTGTGCCAATATTGTCCTCTCTTTTACATGAGCGGTAGTTTACAGGCATATTCATTGTATGATAATTCATTGAGGTAGATAATTAGTATGGTCAATTCTCATTATATGCAAATTCTGATTTGCAAATTTGCCTATTTCCTAAAATTTATTTGTGGAAACCCTTAATCACTCAAGAGTGAATGACACTGTCGTGAATTTTGCATGCCAGTCATAGGATTTCCTAAATATGGTATAGAGATGAAACTAAATGAAATGGTTGGGGTATACATCCAACTCTATTGTAAACCCTAATAAAAGTATTTTTTAGGTTATCACTTTTTCTTTATCAGTACCAGTTCACTTCTCTACTAGCTGAACTAACTGGGTTGAGAGGTTAACCATATATACAATTTAGTTCTAAAATCTATCCCCTTATGTTACCTGTCGGTGTCTGTTATTGGACATATACAATGCCAAATGTAGACAGGGTTGACATTTTTAATTATAAGACATAGACATTTTTTAGATTAGTTGGTTTCAGACCACAAAATATGCTGAAAACCACCGTTCTTCTGGGGCTTTTGTTAAGCTTTTTATCTAAGGAATAATATTTAGTTCAGTGATTATAATCAGAGGCTTGGCAGTATCTATTCTGAAAAATACCTATAATTTTGACCTTTCCTTCCTCTTCTCATTTATGTTTGAAAAAAAGAGGCTATGATTGAAAGTAAAACAAAAATTCACATTTAATGATTCCAGGCCGGGCGCAGTGGCTCACGCCTGTAATCCTAGCACTCTGGGAGACCGAGGCATGAG